GAGATAACACAGCGTGGAGCTGGAGGAACACAGTAGGCCAGGCAGCATCGGAGGAGCAGGAAAGCTGGTGTTTCAGGTCGGGACCCTTCGGAAGAAGAAGGGTCTTTCTGAAGAAAGGTCGCGACCCGAAACGTCAGCTTTCCTGCTCCTCTGATGCTGCCTGGCCTACTGTGTTCCTCCAGCTCCACGCTGTGTTATCAATAAATTCCCAGACCTTTTGTTATGCACCAGCTTCCCCTCTCTAAAGTAACCAGACAGGTTCTCCCAAACTGGCAAAAATAGCTCTAAACGTATGCTCTAAACTTGTACGCACCAACTCATCAAAATCTCTCTGAGCACCAGCGTATGTATGAATAAGCTTCCCTTGGTAAACTGGATATAAAATCCCCGCCTGTGATTGGTAAAGGTAGTGCTCCTGCTATTTTCAAAATGGTGACAGGCTAAAAATTGTGGGATTCAAGGGCTGGAATCACTGAAAGTGAGCACATAGGTGTCAAAAATAATTAGAAAATGATACTGGAGAGAATACAGTACAGATTCACCAGAACGCTGGCCTTTTCTGCAAGAAGGATGGAATATAAAAGTGGGAAATCCAGCTAAAACTGTACAGGACATTGGTGAGACTGTGCCTAGAGCACAGTTCAGAAAATGGGATGAGGCCTTTTGTTTATGAGGAAAGGTTAGACATGAACTCACTGGAGTTCAGAAAACCTAGAGGTGATCTTTTTGAAACTTGTAACATTCTGAAGGGGCGTTAACAGGATAGATGCTGGCAGAATGTGTCCTCTCGGGAGGGGAGGGAAGGGGATGGTCTAAAATTGGGAGTTAACAATTTAAAACTAAGGCATTTAAGACCAAAATGAAGAGGAATTGCTTGTCTTAGAGGGTTATTAGTCTTAAAATTCTGTATCCCAGACAGTGCAGTGATCGTACACATTCAAAGTTGGGACAGAATTTTGATTTACAAGGGAGTCAAAGCAAGCAGGGGCGAGCAGGCAAGAGTTCAGACCACAATCAGTTCACCTGATTTAGGGAGGAGGGATTGGCAGGGGGCTCAAGAGGCCGAGTGGCCTGGCCCTGTACTTATTTATGATCTTCACTCCCTCTTTCCCCTCTGTCTTCCTCCTTCATTCTCCCTCAGTTACACTTCCACCGTCGTTGCTCAGATTCAAAGTGAGAGCGAAAAGTTTAAGCAGAAGCAAAACTTCCCAGAGTTTGTGGCGGGGCCTCGGGTTCCGGTTGCTTACCATAACACGGTGCTGGTGCCGGGGCCTCGCTCGGACCACCACCGCCTGTGCCTGGCACTAGCCCCGGAGTGTGGCCGCGATCCGAATGCCAGTCTCCCGGTCCTAATCCCAATCCTACTCCCGGTCCCGGTCCCAATCCCGGTGGATCCTCACCTGGGCCAGGTAAACCCTGACGTCACTTGCTGCTCCAGGAAGGACAAATGAAACAGGAAACGCGATTCAGTGTTTAAAAAACCCCAAGGTAAAAGAGGAGCAGTTTGTAGAAAATATTACACTATGGAATAAAACAATACATTCGGTCAAACTGCTCCATCTCCGTGGATCAGTATGAACATGTTCCCACCTTTCAGCATATCATTTCCATGACCCCTTGTTGAAACTTTGTCTGACTTCTTTTAACTATATCCAGAAAGTTTGCCTCAACCATGGTAACATGTTCCGCAGTCTGGCCTCCATTTGAGCAAAGAAATTTCTCCTAACAATATATTAGTAAGTATCCCTGGATCTGGTCTGGCCAGCAAATTTCCACTTTTAACTACCATATTCTTCATAATCCAAAAACTTCAAGGTGAGCATTCCATTTTCTCTTTCTTTAGTGGATAGAGGCTCAATCCCAATATTTTCTGACAGGTAAAACCTCTCAACTATAGATTCATTCCCATCAATATTTTTGCATTTTCTATTGCAGCTACCTCTAGATCCTTATATGGAGACCTGAATTGTGCCACGAATAGTCTAACAAGATTCTTTACAAGTTTAAGGTAACTTTCTTGTTTTTCAATTCTATCCCTCTAAAAATGAGCTCAGTGCATTGCTTGCTGTTTCATTAAATAACATTGCTACTTTTATGATTTGATCTGTCCCAGATCTCTTTTCCAACTGATTCCAAGGAACTTGTGAACTTTCTTACAAATATACCACTTCAGAAATCTCCATATCGATGTTATTTTGCCACACACACATTCTGCCACTTAGTAATATCTGCTATATTTTGGGGGAGCCATTCATGACACCCCTAATTTGTTATCGTTCCCAAAGTCGATGGCTCAGTGGTTAGCACTGCTTCCTCACAACGCCGGGGACCCAGTTTCAATTCCACCCCTGTCTGTGTGGAGCTTGCACGTTCTCCCTGTGTCTGCGCAGGTTTCCGGTGGGTGTTCCGGTTTCCTCCCACGGTCCAACGATGTGCTCTTTAGGAGGATTGCCCATTGTGTTCAGCGATGTGTAGGTTAGGTGCATTATCCATGGGAAATGTAGGGTTACAGGGAAAGGGTAGGGAGATGGGTCTGGATGGGATGCTCCTCAGAGGGTCTGTGTAGACTTGTTGGGCTGAATGGCCTGTTTCCACACTGTAGGGATTCTGTGTGTGATTCCCATGTACAAATCGTTTGTGAATGGTGAACAACAATGTCGATCCTTGTGAAATACCAATTCCCTTCTTTTGCAATCTACCTTTTACCTCTGCCTTCTGTTTTGTAACCCATTTGCTTCCCATTCTACAGTTAATCCATGATTGTACATGTAAAGACCTTGATGATGAATCTATCGTGTAATACTTATCAAAGATGTTTTGGCAATCTTAATATATTACATACACTGCAGTACCCTTCTCCATTGTTGCTGCTGCTTCAAAAAATTCAGTATGTTTGATTAACCATCACTTTCCCTATTTTAAAATCTAGATTATTTTCTGTTATATCTTTGAGCAGAGATTCCATCATTTATCCTACCATTAACTGATCTGTATTCCTGGAATTGTATCTTTTTTTAGCTACAGGAATAACATTAGCTAATTCCCAAACCTCTTGCAATTTTTTTTATGTTTGGTTAGTTTGTCTGTCATTTCCCGCATTTCTATCCTACATGTCATAGAATCTCAGACTCATACAGCATGGAAACAGACCCTTAGGTCCAACTCATCCACATCAACCAGACATCCCAATCAGACCTTAGTTCTTTTTGCTGACATTTAGCCTATATCCCCCTAAACTCCTCCTACTCATAAACCCATCCAGATGCCTTTTAAATGTTACAATTGTACCAGCCTCCACCACTTCCTCTGGTAGCTTGTTCCACACACACACCACCCCTTGATGAAAACATTAGTCCTCAAATCCTTTTTAAATCTTTCCCCTCTCACTTGAAGCCTATGTCCCCTAGTTTTGGACTCCCCCACCTGAAGAAATAGACCTTGGCTATTTATCCTATCCATGCCCCTCATCATTTTATAAAAGTCAATAAGGTCACCCCTCAGTCTCCAACACTCCAGGGAAAAATGGCCCACTCTATTCAGGCTCTCCCAATTACTCAAACTCTCCAGTCCTGGCACCATCCTTTTAAAACTTTTCTGCACCCTCTCAAGTTTAACAACATCCTTCCTAGAGAAGGGCAATCAGAATATGCAGTATTCCAAAAATGGCCTCACCTGTCCAGCTGCAACATGGCATATCTTTATATCTTCTTATTTGTTCTTTCTGATATTGTATTCTTGATGTTAGTTTCCCACATAGATATTTAGCCAAAATAAGTAGTTGATATTTCTTCCATTTCAATGATTATATTTTGTGATTTATATGTCTGCAGAAAACCTTACTATTTCTTAATTGCATTTATTGCTAATTTATTTATGTAGCTTCTCTTACCTTTCCCTTAGAAATTGTTTTATTTCAACTTATTATTTTGGTCTTGCTCGTGTCCTCAGTCTTTACTTTGAAACTTATTATTTTGACAACTGTTGCCTAGATATTCCCAACACTTCTTATTTGCTCCATTTCACTTCTCCATTACTAGAATCAGCAGTGCTCCCTCCCTTATTGGCCCTTTTACATTCTGAGCAAGAAAGGAGTCTTGCACATTTTGTAAAATTTCCATACCTCGTACCCACTTTCACCATCTCTTCCTTTGGATGTAGTAAATATCTCCCATGGTTAATGTCCTATGTCTTTTACTCATCTCAGGTTTTTGCTTCCATACCTTTTCACTATTAGGTGGTCTGTAATATATCTCCAATTAGCTTTATCAATCCTTTTTGTTTTCTCTTTCATTTCATTCTGTATGGATTCTATTTCTAACCTTCTGTTGTTAAATCTCTTTCTTTTATAATATATTTTTCCTAGTTCTCTAAAAGATGTGCCATCACTGATCAAACTGGCTGAGTGCTTAAGAATGTAGTTTGTAATACATGTTGTGAGAATCAACACAGTGGATAAGATATTTGACCTCATCCTCACTAATGTATCTGCCACAAATCCATCCCTAATAATAGGTAGGAGTTGATGACTACATAGTCCTTCTGAGCAACAACCATTATTATGACCAGCTTTCGATTCCAATTTTGTTTTACTTATTTAATTTTGATTCTACCAATGGACGCGGTGTGATACAAACCTCAGAGCATTAGCTTGGGCCTCTTGATTACTAGTTCAGTATCATTACCACTATCCCTTCAACTCCCCCAAAAGATCAGAAAGATGCTAATAATCAGTGGTAAATTCTCCAGTGATGAAGCAGTGCGTGCCAACATGGCACAAATCCAAGACACAGCCATGCTTGAGCTGGTAAGTGGCAAATAATCATGCCACAAACTTGTCAGGCTATAATTATCTACAATAAGAGAGGGTCCAATGATTACATTTAATAGTCATACTATCATCAAATTTCCCACAATCAATATGACAGGGAAGGAAGCTAATTCCCCAAAACTTCACAATCCACAAACACAAGTCAGGAATGTGATGAAATACACTCCATTTGTCCAGATGGATGTGCTAAGCGACAAGGTCCAGGACTACACGCTGAAGAATGCACTAAAGTTTGAGGCAGTTGCTGCAGTGGGGTGCAGTGGGGAAAGACCACCATCTAAGGTCTTTCTGCCGAAGTTAAATGGGGTTTAGTCATTGGACCCTCCAAGCTCACCCTTTACTCTGAAGATCTCCATGATGGATGCTGGCTGCCAACGTCTCAGTGCACACTTAATGGGCACTGGCCACATGTACTCCACATCCACAAAATTTGTCACCTGATGTGTCAGCATTTAAGTTACCTTGTAGCACATCTCCAATCCACTTACAAGTTGCTTCTGCACTTAAATGCTGCTCCTCAGGCTGCAATAGCAACTATCATTTTAATGCTGCTGTTGGAACACTGTGTGCCCAGGGTATAAACCCAGCTCATAGACTGGAACAGGCTGTATCACCAGGTTCTTTGCTTGCCATCATAGCGCACACTCACTTTGACCCTATCTGAATGCTCATAGCATCCCAGCCTTGCCTTTTTGTGCTTTACCCCTTTAGCCAGGATCACAAGACTCACGTTACTTCTGTCTTGCAGTACCATTTGGTACAGACACAGAGGAAGGAAGCTTATCATGGATGTCAGCAACTATGTCAAGTCAAGGGAGATAGCCTTCACTCAGGGGGTCTTGGCGCAGTAAATCAAGGGCACCCTCTGATATCCCCCCAGGGGGTTGGAAATAGTCAGTCAGCCACTTGGAACGGTCAGAGTCAGGATGGTCAATACATAAGAGGTGAGGGTCTCAATAGCAGTCAGCCCATCACCCGCCTTGACTCTTTCTGCCTCTTGTGGGCTATTTAACCCCTGAAATAAGAGAGGCAGGTATTATAGGCGATTATAGGAAGTGGGTGGCACAGCTGTTACTATTAGTGCAGGTGATGAGTGTCCTGAGTGAGTGGACAATGCAGGGGTCATGCAGGACTAGTGGTTTTGGGGGTTGAGGTAGGTGACAGCAAGTCAGGGAAGATTATGCAGGCATCAGTGAGAGTGGTAGAGCACAAGCCTTAGTAGGAGGTGGGTACAGTAGCAGAGATAGAGTGAATGGAGGTATTGGGAAGAAGGTGGTTGCACTTACACTGGCAGTGTGAAGAAGGTCATTGACCTTCTTTCTACAGTGATGAACATTTCTCCAGAGGCTAAGCCTGCACTGACGTGGTGGAAGGGAGAATCCTCCTAACAGGTTGGGCATGATCTTGTGTCGTGGCCCCTTCTGCTGGTCCTGGGGGAGGATGAAGTCCCACGTCAGCACCACCCCATCCAGCAAGACCTCCAGGACCCTGCCTAAAAGCAGGAAGCTGAGTCTCCCGTCTGCTTTATCCAGGACAAATGTCAGGAACTGTGCAGGGTAGATGCAGATTGACAGTGCTTGTCCATCTGTGCAGCAGGCTTTTAAAGATGGCGCAGGTGCAAGGGATGCTGGTGAATTCTGAATATCCGGAGTGGCAAATTGTTCTGAGAATGGTGCATCGTGAGATGAGGTAGAAATTGGATGTGAGGAATACCATGGAGTGGGGTTTGGTAGTTAATGAGGTGAGTTTGGTAAGATGCAGCAAAAATATCTTGCTCATGATGGAAATCCTTCCAAAAATGTCAATGCAACTCAAAAAAAATGTAAGATTCAGCCCAACATCATTCATGTTTCTGAAGTCTGTATCCCCTTACCCAGAGAAAAATCTTGGTTAAGCTGAGTAAACGTTTCTGTGAACACCAACCACACTTTTTTCAAAAATATACTTTATTTATAAAATATCTTCGTATACACACATAGTCACTAAAGCAGTTCAGTTTTGTACAAAGCATACTAAGAAAACAAACAAACAGAGTTTGACTCTATCCAAAGACAATTTTTACTTGTAAAGGTTTATATTTACATACATTTGAAGCACCAAGAGGGTCTAATAACTGAATGGACCCCCTCTTAACTTCAGCAGAAAGACCATAGACAGTGCTGTTTTCCCTCTGCACCTCAGCGGCAGCTGCCCCAAGCTTTACTGCATCCCTCAGCATGTAGGCCTGGACCTTGGAAATGTGCCAGTCTGCAACGCTCGGTCAAGGTCAACTCCTTGCTTTGGGAAACCAACAAGTTTCGGGCAAACCAAAGAGCTTCTTTCACCAAGTTGATGGTCCTCCAGGCACTGTCAACATTCCTCACATTCCTCTCAGAGTGGAGTAATAACATTCCTAAGCCTCTGCTGAATGTACCAACTTGATGAGTTCACCAAAGTTCCTCCCTTTACTGTTGTAGGCAGCTAAAACCAATTTACTATTAATACTGTTACTCAAATAATAGAGGGCGCATTTGCAACAAAAACACTAGAGTTTAGTTTGTGAATATTCCAAGGCTAAATTTCAGATCAGTCTGTGGGAATTAACAAAAGCTCATTAAACTGTAATTAAATTGACTTCATGCAGAATTGCTACGTTAAGATTCCTGATTTTTCTGCATTCTCAAATCTCTGAATCTTGGGCCATATCTGCAAAATGGCATTAATCTGAACTCACACTAGGTGGTTATCAATTCAGTTAACCAATTAACTTGGGTGGTGAAGACAGTTTAATAGAACACGTGTTTTACACTGTGTTTTCACAACAAAGAAACCAGGGGAACAAATTTCTCTCCTTGAAACAGTATACATACCATGTATAGGTGAGTGTCCCGTGAGATTAACATTACATTCTCAATTGCAGTATATTGTACTGACATCATATTGGTTCTTGCCATTTCCGCTTTACCCTATCTCTTGATTCAAAACGTGAACCTTTGGATTGCAAATTGCTCCATAAGCCCCTCCATCTCTTTATGTTGCTTTTCATTTATGACATTCCTTAAAACATCCCTCTTTGATCCATCATTTGGTCATGTGTCCTAATATCTCTTATATGACTTGATGTCATTTTATGAAACCCTCTGTTAAATGCATTCTAATGATCAGAGTTACAGCTATCAGCTGTAGCTCAGTACTAGTTCTCTTTCACCTCTATATTAGAAAATTGTAGGTTTGAGATTTAGTCCTCAGATTTGAACCGCATAATCCAGACTAACATTTCAGTGCTGTACTGAAGAGGTGCTTCAGAGATGATCAGATTTGTGATCTGAGCAATTTCTGTTCCTCAGATAACATCACTAAGACAGGTTATCTGGTATTGTCACATTGCTGTTTGTGGGTTCTGCCTTCTGTGTTTCCTACATTGGCACAATAATTAAATCACACTTTAAAAATCACACTTTAATACTGTCTGTAAAGTACTGCGACAAATCCTTAGGTTGTGAAAGGCACAACATATATAAGGGTTATTTTATTGCTGAGGAATAAATAACTTGGGCCCCTGTTGATGTGTACAAATTATGAACAGCTGGAAGGAGCATTGACCGCATACAGTATCATGGAAAACAGCAGAATTTAAGATAGTAAGAACTGCAGATGCTGGAGTCAGAGGTAAAACAGTGTGGAGCTGGAGGAACACATCAGGCCAGGCAGCATCAGAGGAGCAGGAAAGCTGATGTTTCAGGTCGGGACCCTGCTCCCTCCCAATAGAGCATATGAGGAGACTCATTAGACCATGCTCCAATAGTAAACTTGTAAATTCACTTGAAAAATGTCCCAATGTTAATATTTATAATACACAATACATGAAGCTGTCAGGGCCAAGAGATTTTAATTCATCAATTTGTGTTGGATTTGAAACTTGGCTCCTGAGGTGTTACATCATTTTTCAACAGAACATTCTTAGTCAGTGACTTGTATAATCTGGAAAAGGTTTCCCAAAGTGAGGGTCAGGATCCCAAGCATGGTTGCGAGCTGAACATTTGAGGTTGTGAGGTCTGAGGAACAATAGCAGACTTCTCTCCCCCTGCTCTCATAGATCTTCTCTCCTCATTGCCCCTCTCCTCCAACCCCACACTTTCGGTTCTCGCTGAGGAGTTGTAACAATTTTCAAAACTCAAAATGGGGTCACAATGAGAAAAAGTCTGGGAAGCACTGACTTAGAAGGACAAGAGCAGCAGACGTGGGAACAACCTTCACATTTCCCTCTAATTCACACATCATCCTGATTTTAGAAATTATATCTGTCTTCATTGTAAGGGGTAGCACGGTGGCTCAGTGGTTAGCACTGCTGCCTCACAGCACCAGGGAGACCCGAAGTTCAATCCATCCTTGGGTGACTGTCTATGTGGAGTTTGCACACTCTTCCTGTGTCTGCATGGGTTTCCTCCGGATGATCCTATTTCCTCTCACAGCTCAAAGATGTGCAGGTTAGGTGGATTGGCCATGGGAAACACATGGTTAGGGCAGGGGGTGATTCTGCGTGGCAGGCTCTTCAGAGATTCCCTGTGAACTTGTTGGGCTGAATGGCCTATTTCCACACTGTAGGAATTCTATGACATTGCAGTATATTGCTGTTCCTTCACTGTCTGTGTGTTAAAATCCAGTACATTTCTGCTTAACGGCACTGCGTGTGTAACTATTCTGCAGTGATTCAAGAAGGAAACTCATCACCACGTTCTTAAGGGAAATTAGGGACAGGGAACAAATGCTGGTCTTGCCAATGATGCTCACATCTGATGAATAAATAAAGCATTACACTGTTCCCCAACAATGCGGACAATACAATCTCAAGTTTGTAGTTTGGTAGTTTGGTAAATCCTTTAACTGAACTAGGGAATGGGTGAGGTGGAGACAATGAGTAATAATAGGGCTTAAGTGTAAAGCAGCAGGACCAATACATATAGGCAAAGAAAACCTAATCCTAAGCCTGGATAACCCACTAGACATAATTGGACTGATGCAGTTTACAGTTCCATCAGATGCCATTGGCCCAGCATGTAATTGACAAGGTGTGACAAATCCATTACACAGTGTGACTGGCACAGTATCAGAACCACATTAGACTGCACTGAATCATTGAGTTGAACCTATTATATCTGGTGTGACTGAAGCAGTAAAACAATCTAATTTCCACATAAATTGTACAGTGTTACATGGAACAGCAAAACCTAATTAAGCATAATTAATTTTTTGATTTTACACAGAGTCAAATCCCAGAAGAGTTCCTGAAAGGAAACCAAAGAAGGCATTTAAGGATTGAAGACACAGAGAACGCTGGAGAATCATAGAATCCCTACAATGTGGAAACAGGCCATTTGGCCCAACAAGTCCACACCACCCCTCCAAAGAGCATCCCACCCAGACTCATTTCCCCTACCCCTGATTTCTGATGTCTAACCCCCCTAACCTAAACATCCCTGGGCACTATGGGCAATTTAGCATGGCCAATCCACTTAACCTGCACATCTTTGGACTGTGGGAGGAAACCGGCGCACACCCATGCAGAAATGGGGAGAATGTGCAAACTCCAAACAGACAGTCACCTGAGGGTGGAATCAAACCCGGGTCCCTGGCACTGTGAGGCAGCAGTTCTAACCACTGAGCCACTGTGCCATCCCCAAGAAAGGAACAAGATGCATTCGCTGGGAATCAAACCCGGGCCTCCCGCCTGGCAGGCGAGAATTCTACCACTGTACCACCAATGTAAGCTACAAATTCAGCAGATCTCTCAGTATTTGTGGAGAGAAAAACAGAGTTAATGTTTCGAGTCCAGAATTACTTTTCTTCTGTTCTGAAGAAGTCATACTGGATTCAAAACATTAACTCTGTTTCTCTCACCACAAATGCTGCCAGACTTGTTGAGGTTCTCCAGCATTCTGTGTGTTTGGTTAAAATTTCTAGCATTCATAGTATTTTGCTTTGATTTGATTTTAAGGGTTGGTCTGGTTCCTTGGTACATATTTAGCAAGATACTGAAAACCAACTCACTTATATTGTTATAACAAGGATGAGAGCTGGATGAACACAGCAGGCCAGTTCCTACTATCTCTCACTTATATTGTTGTTGGCAGTTGTTGCTGGTACTTTCACTTGTTTTTACTGTTACTATTTTTGTTTGCAGTTGCAACTGTTATTGTAGCTAATATTGTTACAGTCTAATAAAAATTCTGTGAATGTGGGGATTGCTGGCAAGGTCACAAAATTATTGCCCGACAAAATTGTTGTGGGAAGTTGACAGTAAAGCTTGTTCATGAGCTGCTGAGCAGTTTGATACAACTGAGCTGCTAGCCCAAGACTAAATCAGTTAAGAATCAACCATGCCAATGTGGATCTGGAGGAGTCATATATAGGGCGTACCGGGTAAATGCAACAGGTTTCCTCCTGAAAGTACATCAATCTGACAATTTCATCATAACTTTTGCAGATGCCAATACTTTTCCCCCACATTTTAAAACCTGAATTAAATTTCTTGAACAGCCGTAATAGGATATGAACTTATGCCCTGGATTACCAGTCCAGTAACAGAAACACTAGTTGACTAGACCCCAAAGGACAATATGACTATCAATTGCACAGAAATGACTAGTAGAGTGTAACAGTAGACTAGTAATACACAGACTGACTGGTACAGTGTGATAATTGCAATGCACAAATAACTAGGCAGTGTAACAATTCCATTATGGGCCATATAGAAATTTCTAGCACAAACAGCAGTGGCAGCTTGGTGATTGAATATATTCAAGGCTGAGATAGACATATTTTGAGCTTCAACAGATCCTAGGATGAGAGGAGACAAGCAGGACAGTAAATTTAAGGTCACAACAAGATCAGCCGTGATCTTATTAAATTATGGGGCAGGCTTATGAGGTCAAATGGACTATGCCTCTCCTATTTCTTTATTCATTCATGAGATGTGATATCACTGGATGGGCCAGCATTTATTGCCCTTGAGGTGTTGGTGAGCTGCCTTCTAGAACCACAGCAATGTATTTGGTGTGTGTTGCATTTTTATGTTATACTTGACAGAACGCAGAAAACTTGTAACTGAAGGTAAGAATTATGTATTTTAATAGGCAACATTGTATACAGATAGTTCTCATTTGTGATTGGAAATTTGAGATAGAACACATGCACCCCAATACTATTTATTTAATCATGACTTGGAGCAATAAACAAGAAATTACACCAGAACACACAAAAAGACTGTTAGCATTGAGGGAGTTATCATAACATCTCTATCCCAGGCTGGGCTAATGATTAGTCTGCTAACTAGCGGTTGCTTTCTCAGGATTGATTACCAAGGCCAACAAATTAACAGATGTTAATATAAGGGCATATTTGATTAACAAAATGCAGATTCCTCACAACTGGGTGGGAGAGATGATTACTCAGAATAAATTGTTGTAGATTATTGAGGATTACTTATTTGAGACAAGTCACTGGAGTTGGTCACTAAGACACTGGTCACTGACGATCAGTGACTTGGGACAGGTTGCAGGAGTTAGTTACTGTTATTCTTAGGATGCCAGTCATGGTTTAGGTGACTTGCACTTAGAGTATGGGAATGTAGTTGTCAATGCGAGTCCGATGTCTCTGAGCTATACATTCCGCAATCCAAACAATATTCCGACATTCCTGCTCCTTCAGCTTCATGTAAGCATGGAACACCCCAAAGTGAAACTGGTTATTAAATGCCATTACATTGAGCTTCACCTGGGAAGGAAAAGAGAGGAAGTTACAGTTGGATTGATCCAACATCATGAGGATCTCTTATACAGGATGTGAAAACACCTGGACTGGGATGGGTGAGACACTTATTTTGAGGACTAGTTTCTTTGATTAAAAGCCTCATGTCCTTTTCCTGATACAGTAGAACCAAGTTCTGTCAATATCTTCAGATGTTGGCCCTGACCTGTTTCTTCCCTTCTGTCTGATGTGGACAGGAAGCATTTCAACGTCATGCTACTGATGTGGAGATGTCCATTCCAGTTGTTTCTATCTAGGCTGCAATTCAGAATATTTCCAAAGAGTTTCTCACAGAAAGCACCAAACTAAAACATAAGCCATCATTGGACTGCTTCAGCTCCTTTGGCATGCAGCAACTCCCAACTTTTCCCCTTTACTCTAGAACACATCTTGGTGACCAGTTTAAATCTGAGCCATCCCTTGGCCAATGTGTTTAAAGCAACTAATCAAGGAAATGTAGCATGAACTCAAACTCTGCAGACACAGAAATGCCTGATACATTGTGAGAGGCAGTTGGAAGAAGGGAGAGGAAGTAAGGGCTAGAGGACTTGATGAAGTAAATGGCGAATTAGAGAGAGGTGAGTGAGAGTAAGGTATGGGTGATGAAAGAGTGTGAATGGGTGAAAGGGGATCAGTGGTCTGAGGACCCCAATCGGGGTCATTACCTCATATTCAAAGAACTTGTCTTCCAATGTCTTCTCATTGGAATTCTTCTCTGCACCTTCAAACAAGAGTTTATATTCCTGACAAGAGAGAGTAACAGTCAGGTCAGAAATAAACATTATCCTGGGCTAGGGTCTCACAGAATAGAACTTTACACCCCTCCCCCAGCAGGAACTATATTCTGACATTCTTGGTGCTGACTCTGACGAGGCTGTGTCAGAGTCAAGGGACTTTCTATGTGTAACTAAAGGATGACTCGGTGATGGGATACCAGCATCTATGGAGTTATTTCAAGAAGAGGGGGCACCTTGCCTGTCACCTACCACCTTTAAGCAAAGGCAGACAAACAATCTGTTCTTAAGCCAATTGACGGCCTGAAATAGCAAATTAATGGTGCCTGAAGAACGTCCTCCCTGGTGAATTTTACCAGCAGCTGACAGGTGCCCACATTATGTAGCAAGGCTGGAGATCTGTTTTGTTTGGCCACCCTGTATCCAAAGGAAGATCTCCCCCCTCTGATCCTAACAACACAGATTGTACTGACCCTCCTCCCACCTCCTTTTCACTGCCCTCACTGCCTAACTAGCCCTGATAAAACTGCCCCACCTACCCAAAATAAAATATAGACCATGTGCTCCCAATCTCTCTCACACCATTGGTAGAGACAGACTTAAGATTTCTTACAGAGATGGAGTAGTTCAACATTACTTCTCTTCATGGTTCACAAAGAGTTCAAAGAGGGGTAAAGTTTGAAACTTGCCTGACCCTCTTGAGAGTAGGCTCTCCTCTTGTGTTATCTTGCAGCTGCCAAGTGTCAGTGTAAGTGTCCCAGACTGCTGTTAGCAGGATCCTTGTCTAAGCAGGGATCATCACTGGGAATATTACATTGCCTGGCTAGAGACCAGGAAGGAGGCAGAATCTGACTTTAATTTTAATCCCTTGTTTGAAGCTCTCCTGCTTGTCAGAAGGAAGAAATTAAAAATAGCAAGCCATTGAGAGATCCCTCAGCTCTTCAGCTATAATTCCCAGCTCTCAGTCACCCACACTGTGGGCTCCATAAGAGGTTCAGAGCCTTCTCTTTTACCTTTCATGGTCCAGGGCATAATTAGAATGTTTAAGTGTGGGGGAATAGGAAGCGCACATTGGGAAAAGAACCCTTCAAATATGCCTGGGTCTTGGATAAGCGGAAGGCTGAATGTGAAATGGTATTGCCATTGACATAGCTCTCTGGAAGTTTAAAAAGTCCAAGTTCTACAACACCATCATTGATGTCCCAGGACACAGGGGCTTTGTCAAGAATACGATTACTGGAATGTCGCAGGTTGACTGTACTGTGTTGATTGCTGCTGCTAGTGTGGGCAAGTTTGAAGTTGATATATCAAATGGACAAACTAGAGAGCATGCTCTGTTTGCCTACACTCTGGATGTCAAGTAACCTTTGTTGGTATCAACAAGATGGACTCTAATGATCCACCATATAGTGAGAACAGATATAAGGAAATTGTAAAAGAAGTCAGCATGTACATCAAGAAGATCAGCTACAATCCTGATAGTGTTCCTATAGTCCCCATTTCTGGTTGGCATGGTGACAGTATGTTGGAAGTGCCCTGGTTCAAGGGTTGGAAAATGGAAAAGAATTAGGAAGGGCACATTGCCTGAACATTGATCCCAGTAACAACAAGAGCTTGGAGAACATACCGCGTAATATTCAGCAACTGCACGCACATGCTCAAAATCCTCAGCTTTGGATAAAAGGGTCAAGCCATCCGGGTGCAGTCTGCCGCAGCGTGGATAAAGTGTAGTCCGATCCTCTCTGCTCAGCTCAGTGCCAAAGGAGTTCAGAGTGATGATAAATGCACGTCGGTCAGCTTCAAACTAGGTGGAACAATACTGAGGTGTGAGTGCGAACTCTGAATGAGACTGTGCACATACAGAAAGCCTAGAATCAGAT